ACTGAATTCTAACAATTTTTAAAAGGTACCAAAATTCCAAAGTGCTAGCCTGTTTAAAGTACTCTTTTTTTTTTTTTTTTTTGTCTTTTTGTCTTTTTCCGTGTCCGGCAACAGATCGCAACCCTCAGTGTTGCCCCCGTACCGGACCGGGGACCGGCAACGGGACTGCAACCCTAGGCGTTGCTCCCGTGCCTCGCTCAGCCAGTGAGCGGGAACCGGTCTGTATGTGGGATCCGACCCCTCGGGTGGGAGCGCTGCCGCGCTTCCCAAGCGGCGCACTATCCAGTGCGCCGCCGGGCCGGCCCTAAAGTACTCTTAAGCTAAGAAACTAACAAACTATATTGAACCTTTCCATCTATAAATCATGACAGCAATCATCAGTGATGTTGGAGTTGTTTAGCCCCAAGAAGATTCATTCTTTTTGTGGTTAACTAATGTATCAGAGTTAAATCACATATTCTCAGACCTGAATATATATTTCTAAAAAAAGAAAAAATAGAATTTTGAATTCAATCAACACCATGAAATAACTAATAAAAAAATGGGAAAACAGAAGAAAAACACAAGTAGAAGCAAGATTTTAACAGCAAGAAAACTATAGACCACTAGTCACTTTTTAAGCCATTGTGAACTACTCACTAATAACTACCTTCAGGAAAGGCCTCAAAATGCCTCCTTTAAAACTCCTTCTGTCCTTTCTCCCTTGGCTTAAAAACAGAGAAGGCAATGACTGACTATGCTATGCTCCTTCTGTAAGATTCTCACAACAGTGAAAGTTTTATTGAGTGCTTACTATGAGCGAAATGCTGTGCATTTTATATGCACTATTATCTCGTTTTAGTTTAACAACATTATTAGGAGAATGGTATAATTTTTATTCCCGTTTAAGTGGAGAAACACTGTGAAAGGCCAAATTAGGATTCAAAGCCAGTTAGTAAACCCCAGAGATTACACTTGGCTCCCCTTTGCTGTGCTTCCTCCCCAGTTAGAAGGTACTTACTAAGGGACAAGGTCTCTATTTCTCCACCTAACCAGCAACTTCCTGATTGAATTTGTCCTGTCTGCCAGCATTTTCAAGACTGCTTTCAGAAACCTTCTGATTCACTCTTAAACTTGGGTTAAAGATCCTTTAACCCAGGATCCTTTCCCTTCAGAACTTTCTAAACAGACTGAATTAAAGAAACTAGCAACAGCCACGTCCCAACACATACAAAACAAAACAAACTAAAACCCAAACCACACGCAAAAACTTATATAGTGGTTTCATTCTATTTAATCAGTCCCTAGTTCAAAGTTAAAATTATTTTTCTCCCTTTATTCCTCCAAAATAGCCTCATCTTTTCTAGAACTTGGAGTATATACTAACCATTAGCATAATGATCTCTGTGACCCTATTTCTGTTGCAAATGCTCTTTTTGAAGAAGTTGAACCTATTAGGCATTCTCAACTTCCCTGATTTCTACCAGGGCTTGAAGAGAAAAAATGTGGTGGTAAACTCATTAAGCGTGTTTGAATAATCACATTAAATTCAGCAGGATTCTGCATCTTGCTGAATATTACGTATAGTGATCAGGGAATATTGATTCAGGCTTTATATTAGGAAAAAGAAGACATTTGCCATTCATGCCTACATTCAGCAGGATTCTGCATCTTGCTGAATATTACGTATAGTGATCAGGGAATATTGATTCAGACTTTATATTAGGAAAAAGAAGACATTTGCCATTCATGCCTATTTTAAAAATTCAAGTGTCACTGATAGGCATGGGGGACTCCTAAACTAATAAATCATCAGTTCAAAACAGATAGCAATATCCTACAGAATAAATGTAAACACTTTTTCTTACTTAAAGGTATAATCCACCATATTTAGTAAATTTTAAAAATCCTAGATTATAAAATAAAATAAAAGCCTTCATCTGGGGTACATTTGGGTGTGGAATGGGAGCAGACAGACAGAAATAGTGGTGTCCTAATGTCTAAATCAGATTGGCTGTCAATCTGATTAGTTGCCTAAAATGGCCAAAAAATAATTAAACAAGTTAGATCCACTGAAAAAGGGCTGAGTTGGGCTGAGAGGAGAATGCTTTGCCTGCCAAATTCCGTTCAACAGACGGGCTAAGACACGGCTTAGAAATTCTCCGTTCCGAAGAGGACAGTACCTGTTCTGGGCATTGACCTCCACCTGGTCGGTCACCTGTCCGAAGGACTCTTCCTCTTGTTTCTGCCGCAGCCTTTCCTGTCGGGCTCGGCGGCGCCGTTCCCGGGCCGCCTCTTCTTCATCATCATCATTTCTCTGGTAGGCGATTCTGCAACGTTACAAAGACAAGTTCCTGAGCACGCCAGCTGTCAACTGTCTTCACCAAGTTCTTGGCAGGAACAGCCCTGAGCCCTTTTCTGAACTTTACTTCATGAACCACATTGGTCTAAAAGGATGGTTTGGTTCCTTCAGTTTAGAGACCCACTTAGCTAGTTTTCAAACAAGTTCTCAAAAATTTGAAAAGCATTAGCTGCAGAGGATAATTTACAAATGATCAAATAACAACTTAATCTAAAAAATCCACACAGAAGCAGGCTGCCTCCAGAGACTAGTTTAGCGTATGTAGATTTCTTTACTAAGCTGATTATCAGCATGTAAGATTTAGAAACAGAAATCCCAAGTATCGAACCACAAATAATCAAAACACTTACAAAGGATTCAGCACGTTGTGTGAATTATTTGTGTAGATACTGTCACAAAGATCAGAAAAGAATCATGTTATTTGACCAAACCAGGACTTCAGAGTTAATAAGCCCAAATTGCTAATTGAAAGCAGGAGCAGGATATCATCTTTGGATTTTGTGTTTCCCTTCAATTCCTTTTCAGTGGAGAAAAAGGTGTGACTGATGATTGGTAGGAGGCTTCAGAGTCACTGCATTTTGAAGGGGTGGCAGCTCTCTCTAAGGCCCCCTCTTTTGCTCTAAAATATGCTTTTAGTATCCTAGCACGCACATGCTGGGCACATCACAGCAGCCCACAGGTGTTTGATTAGACAGAAGAGACACAGAGGGCTTCACATGTATATATGTTATTTAGCTTTTATAGTTTCATTTGCTTATTTGGAGAAATTATACAACCAATAATTATATACCAATAATTATACAATTATATGGTATCACTATGCCAGATTCATTTCCACTAATACTTATTCCCAAATAAAGAATTGGGGCTAGGGAACTGCAGATGCTTAAACTCAAGAGGAAATGGCCTGCGTGGTAACTCGGCTATTTTTGAAGATGTGATGTGGATTGAGATACAGATTGTCAGGAAGGCGTGGGTAGTGCTGGCTGGCCTGGAGGTAAGCTGCTTTGATGGGTCACAATGGGTTGAGGATGGAGATGAAGATCATGCAGTGGGCTGCTTTTTACACTGGAGAGTTAAAGTGTTTTTATTACAATGTTACTTCCTATCTACAAATAGAAATTTAGTATGTAAATGATTCACACTAATAATTTTTTTAAATTGTGATAAGAACAGTTAACATGTGATCTACCCTCTTAACAAATTTTTAAGTGTATAATACAGTATTAACTCTAGGCACAATGTTGTATGGCAGATCTCTAGAACAAGCTTATAATTCTTATATAAATATTTGGCTTTGCCAAATAATTTGCAGATTAAAGAAAACAAAACAACAGAACCATAGAATTTATACCAATAATACAAACCTAATGTGGCTGATAATGGCTCATGTTAGATTTACAAACCTAAAACATTTTTAGGTTTAAATCTAAGCATTTTCAGGCTTAGATCCAGTCCTTTATTTCACCTGTGTCATTTTGTAACTTTAATAATAAGAATGCCATGAATGTTTTCTCACTTCGGTATCTTATGAAAAGCAAGACTAACAATTCTGAAGACTGGTTGGTTTGGTCTTTGCTATGTCAGGAAATCTGACTTCATACTTACTGAAGTCTGCTAGTGTGCAATACTCAAATGCCAATATAAATAAAGTGTCACTTAGTAATTCTATAAAACCGACTGGTTTATTTCCACAAATATGGAGAGAAGGGCAGTGAGATATAGTTAATAGATGACTAGATTAGGACTCGGAAAACCTGGTTTCTAAAACTGGCCTCTCACTAACTTGCAGCCCTTTGATTAACCTGAGTTAAATTTCCTTGTCCGTAGAGTTTGTCATTAAATGAAATAATGGATGTGTTATGCAGAATGTTCTACAGTGCAATATTTCGTTGTGTTAGGAAAGTTCAATTAAGGAGCTGCTTTGTGAGGAAAGATGAGCTCAATTTTAGACTTGTTGAGTTTGAGATGACAACATGACATGCTTTGAATGTTCCTTTCTAATTCAGTCACATTGTAGTTTGCAGTCAAAAGCCCTTCCCGGTGGTTTGGCTTTGACCTTCAGATTCTTGGCTTATTTCTCTGTAGACAGATTTAACCACAGCGGGGAGAATGAGCCCTTAATGACTACTTCCCAAGCTAATTAATCAGAAAGTCTTAATTTGCTCCTCTACATCTCTGGATCAGCCATGAGGTCATGGCTATTACTTGGGGCCTTCCTCTTCCAAGACAAGCAAGAGGCGTGAAAGCTGCACATGGGACATCCCTATACTAAAAGCAAAACTCCTTCCTCCTCTTAATGGAATCTAATTTTAAGCCCTTAATTTCCCACTATACTTGAAACTTTGGAGACGCTACCGTCTTCCTCCTCCCACTTCCCCAACGTGCTTCATGGCTGGATGTTGCTGGCTTTTACCTCTGACACAAACTAGATTTGCCAGCCATGCCAGGTCACTCTTAACCATTCTCCATTTTCGATTTCTCACTGGAGAAGTGACCTAACAAACAGATCATCTCCACTAACTCTTCTAATTCTTCTCTTAGTGCAGCTTAAAATTTATAGACAATCACTCTCCATGGGTAGCCCCTTTTCTAAGATACACAGTGACCAGAGCCAGATTTCTATCTTTTATTACTGCTAATAAAGAAATGTATTCAAATTGTTTACAAGGTTAAGAACAAAAAAAGAGCCAAAATGATTTCATGGCATTTTTAATCGTAACATGCCCAGTTGCTGGTTCAATAACTTATCAGTTGACTCCATACTTTATAAGTGATATTGTGTTCATGCCAAATGACTTCATACGTGCAGAAATTCTTCAACTGTGAGACTCCCTGCTTTAGCCCTCAGCGTGCAAAGAAAACAGTAGTTTCTTAGGTTCTAGGCTTCTCCCACAGCAACCTACCTTTCATACTATTACCACAGGTTTTATTATTACTTTTTCTTTCAAAATTAGAAAGACACAACTGTTTTTCTTATTCTTAAAGTACCATACACTTATTATTTTTTAAAACCAGACAATACAAAATGTATAAAGAAGTAAGTAAAAATCAGCTCTCTAGGATCACACTACCCAGATATGAACATGATGAATATTTGATATCCTCTACCAGACATCTTCCTATGCAGGCATAGATATTTTCATTTTTTTCTAAAGTGGGATCACATTAAACACATCATTTCATAAACAGTTTCTTTAATTTACCTTATATATGATGTTTTATTGTTAGGTAACTGGTGACTTCTGGTAAGCTTGGATGGAAAAAAGTTACTGACTTATGACTATTTAAACATATTAGCAAAATACAATTTCAACAGCAACATGGCATTCTATTTATTATATACACATACTAATTATATGGATGCATTATAATCTATTTAACCAATTTTCTATTGATGGACATTTAAGATTTTTTCAAACTTTATGCTTATGTATAAACAATGTGGCAAAGAACATCATTACAGACACACTTTTACCATTTGTTCAATTATTTATATAGGAAAACTTCTCAGAAGTTAGAATTTCTGAGTTTAAGAGTATGCTCATTTTAAAGGCTTTTGATATGCATTGACAAATTGCTCTCTAGAAAAGTATTGGCAAAGAACATCATTACAGACACACTTTTACCATTTGTTCAATTATTTATATAGGAAAACGTCTCAGAAGTTAGAATTTCTGAGTTTAAGAGTATGCTCATTTTAAAGGCTTTTGATATGCATTGACAAATTGCTCTCTAGAAAAGTACATAACACCAGGAATGCATGAGAGTGTTAATTTCACCACAAAGAAGAATTTGTCCAAAAAGACAGACAAATACAGAGGATCCTTAATATACCCAAACGATAGCACAGACTCTGCCTCATGCTTCAATGAAAGACAAAATGTTAACATTTCTGACTCTCCACACCAGATTTAGTAAAAATCATACCTAACCAGCCACTGGACTGTATAAAAGCATAACAGTACATTTGTTCTTTCTGTGAAAATTCAACAGATGCTGATATTAACCAGTCTGCTCATATTCTACAGTTCAAAGACAACCGATGTTCCCAGATGATTCAGGAGCAGTGTGGGGTCCCGATGTTCCTCTGAATCATCTGAGAAAGACTGAACTATGTCTAGCAGAGTTTTAATCAAATACGTTTCACTGTGATTTGTTTGTTTTTTTTTTTAAATGGTAATCCACAAATGATCTATAAAGCAACTCTCCGTTAAATAAAATGTTTGATTGACCAGAATCCATGAGCTTTCCACCCACGCTGGTCCTAAAAGGGTTTACTATGGAATATTCTGCCTTGTTTCTTGATAACTACTTTTGTTCATCTCTTGGCACAAACACTTGCAGAAAGGTATAATCAGCCTTTCTGTAGGAAGGTCAATGTTGCTGACAGCAAAATGGCTCATCAGATATCTGTGAGAAAAAGAGGTAGGCTATTGTGTATTTATATGTGTGTGTGCACGTGTGCACACACCTATGACTGAACACAAACAATCTTAAAAGTCCACAATAATTACATGATGTTATTTGATTACGTCAGTGGTATGAAAAAGTAGAGAGGACTGGCTTTTCTTCCATTCCCAGAACAATTGCTTAAAGGCCCTGGGGTTAGATGATAAGAAAAAACAGTCCTGTGCAACGAGAAAACTCTCTTGTAATGCAGTGGCTTTCACACCAAAGACATTTTAAGTCTTTGACACCAGGGCTCTGCTACCTCAGCAGATTCAAGTAACAAGGTAACCATGTTACAGAAGTGCCTTTTAGATAGAAAGTTCAAAAAAAAAAATGAAAGTATTATAGATGTGGCAAATGAGAGAATCATTGAGGTCTCACTGTCTTTACACTGGGATGGGCCAGGGTCTGAAGCAAATGAGAGAAAGAGGATCTGGCAGAAGCTTCCCCAGTGACACACTGGAGCACGGCATGAGTTGTCCTTTTGTCCCAGGGTCCCCCTTGCCCCACCTTCTC